GGAAAGAACATGTAACATAAAGGGACAGACTTGAATAAACGCACTTTCATAAACACTCTCTCAAATATTTCAAAAAACTCTCTCAAACTTAGATTATAAAAATCACTCTCTCTCAAGATACTAAATACTTTAAAGTTAATGGATAAATCTGAAATCCAATCAGATATTTCAGATAGCATGAATAAGCAAGAAGCAAAGGTATATTGTTCAAAATATATGCGGAACTAATTTCATATATTCCTGAATATCATATATATGATTGAATAAATTTATGTTAGTTATTATGTATTAGAATTATTTGAATCATGATTTCTAGTTTATTAGCACACTGGAAACAGGGAGAAAAATTCTATACTATGCCATCATAATGTTGAAACCGGTAGGTGAGGAAAGCCGTTTAGGGGAGTAAACTAAGTTGAGGCGCTGATAAGAAGGAAGTATCCGCTAAAGTACGATGCTAGTAGTGACAGGAGAACATGATAAACAGATAATCTAGTTCATAATAATCTAATATGAATTTAATCAATTATGAATATGATAGGAAGGAATAATTGAAAATAAAAAACCTGCATAACAACGAACATGACTACATACATGCATGATGAAATGATAAAAAACTACGAAACTTTAATCTTATATATACTTAAAGATATAGAAATAATTGAATTAAGGAGAATAATATGGGAAAACACATTTAATGATGACGAATCAGAAGATATATTAAATCAACAATGGTATGAAATAAACCTACATGATTTAGACTTCAAAAGAATAGAATGGTATGATTTAGAAATAAATTCAGATTAAAATGAACTACAAATATTTACAATATTGGACAGAATCTATGAAAAATATAAAACTATTAGAACAATTGATAGAGGAAAACTTATATATGTACCAAAGAACCCAAGATATGTTATATCTAGAATACATCACAAATAATATTTAAAGAAATATTCAGATTAAAACAACTATCAAAAAGAATATTACAATAAGTATTATTACATTTTACCATAAAAAAAAGAATATTATAATAAAATCTTTTAAGATGAATTCCTCACCTACCACACTACCCCCTACCACAAATGTCATGAATTTCTCATCTACTACACTACCAAAAGGTCAAATAAAATTTAATAAAGCAATTCCGCACCCCCGAAAAATCTTGTTGGGTTTGGAAGTAATTATGACATTATGCGGATGCTTACAATTGCAAATCATATGCCGATAAATTAGATGACACATAAAATTATACTAAAAATATATATATTATATGATATGACCAATTTCCTACATAATTTTAAAAACTAATTGTAAGCATAAAATTTGTAGAGAGAAAATCTCCCCAAAACAAAAGTCTCTAAACGACTACATTGTAGATTCTATTGTGTTATTCTATGAGAATATGATCTTCAATTTATAGATCTCCAAACTTTTTCCCTAAAGAAAGAATAACAAAATATGAAAAGGAATTATATTTTTCTTTCAAGAAAAGTAAAAGGAATTATGGTAATACTTTGACTTTCCTTTATGAAAAAAGTAAAACTCAAATATGGTAAGAAAATTAGGGCAAAACTCAAACAATATGGTGTATAAATAATACATAACAAACCATGATAGTAGCTAAATGAGTGCTACTAATACATGGATAATGGTTAAAGACAAACTACTCTTAGAACACCAAACCAAATAGTGGGATAAGAAATAATCTCAATATTATTAACACACGTTATTTAGTACTATACTTATACACTCCACCAAATAACCTAAGCATTTGGAGAATTGAAGCACTAGATTGATGTAACCCTACTTATTGAGATGACAAAACCAAACAATGAGCTTTGTAAGAAACTCTCATGTCCATGTTTTTCTGCTCAGAAGTACAATAACTTTGGGTAAACTACATCCTTGTTGCTCACAAAATAAATATATAGACTATATATAATTTGGAATTTTATGTTGGATTTGACTAGGGATTTCAAAAGAATATAAAAACCGATCGAATTTAATCGAATCGAATCGATTTATGTTATTGTTACAATAAAACCATAGACTTTATTTAAGTGTATAACCGCCTCGAACAATTGATGTGGTCTTTTTAATTTATGAAAAAAATCAAAAAAATATCGAACCGAATCAAATAACCTTACATGTATGTAAATATATTTTATATATTAAGAATATGTTAAATTCATTAACAATATGTTAAATTTAATATATAAATATATTTATAACATTTTTCAAATATAAATATAACCTAGGTCCTATGCCTTTGTTGACTAGACGACTTTGGGTCTTTGCTCTTTAATTAGCCTTTACTTATTAGGTTTAAAATTAAATGATATTGTAATAGATTTTCTATCAAACAATACAACAAAACCTATGCAAACACTTCTATTAAATGTTTAAGATCAAACAATACGACAACAAGGTTTTACATTCTTGTCTTCTTGGTGAAGCATTAAAGTGCTTCTTCAAGAATATATTTGTGAAAAATATATTTTAATAGTAGTATATTTTGAAGTGATATTTTAAAAGTAAAAGACCCAAAAATTAACCGAATCGTACAAATACCGAAGAGAATTGACTGTAAGTAGAAAATATCACAAAAAATTGATTATATATTATAAAATACCCAAAAAATTTGGATGGTATAATTTTTTAAAAGTAACCGACCGAACCGTACCATACACCCCTAGAATTGACTGTAAGTAGACAATATCACACCATGCTACGAATATTTTTGGGTTGTTTGAGCCCAACTATTAGTGTTAGAGCCAATGTTTTGGTGTAATGAGTAAGGATATGGCATAGTAATGGCATGAGTATGACTTACTATCATTTTTCAGTTCATGAACTGATTTACTATCTTTATCCGAGACACACAAAGAAGTAACACACAACTAATCTTCAAATTAGTCTATGAATGGTGATGGACGGCATGAGACTTAGTTACTGGGTGTACGCAGTGGCGTAGCCAGGAATTTAATGAAGGGTGTCCAAACTTTTAATAGTAATTTTTTTAAAAAAAAACGACGATTTAAATTACCAAAACGAATAATCAAGTTAAGGAATATTTAATTAAATATAGGAATATTTTTAATAAAATTACAAGTGTATAATTCAAAACTAACATAAAGAAAATAAATTACTATTGAAAACATAATTTAAATATATTATTACAATTGTACTCGACGAGGTTTCATATCCTGAAACGTTTTTATAATAGACTCATTAGAAATAGTACGAAATACTTTCTTTTCTACATAAGGCACAATACAACCGTCTAAAAACTACATCATCCATTCGATTTTGCAAGTCATTTTTAGAGTATTTAAATCAATGCTTTGTTTTTTTGAGAAGAATGTGACAACATCTCTAATTGATCTTACCGTTCTTTCTTTTATTTGGTTTGACTTCGAGAAGTCAAATTTTTTTTGGTACTCTATTATAATAATTCGTCATGTCTATTGAAACTTGAAACTAAAATATTAAGTTGGTTATTTTTGTTATAAAATAAGAGAACGAGAAGAAAAAACAGAGAGAGAATTATTGAGATTCTATTCTTAATAATATTGTGATATTTGGGTAAATGAGTCTCCTATTTATAGAGAAAGAAAACCTTATTCCATAAGGGAAAAGTATTAAAAATTTAAGGAAATCTTATTCTACAAGGAAAATGTATTAAAATAATTTAATTTTAATTGAAAATAATAGTTAGTAGAGGAGGGATTCGAACTTGGGTCTTGGAGACTTTCATGATACTATTAACCACCAGGCTATTGAACTTCTATGTTAAAATTACGCATGTTTATTTACTTAATTGATTTCAAGAAGTCAAAATAATTATAGAAAAAGAAAACATCCTTGCGGGGAATCGAACTGGGACAAAAAGTAGGATTGCACAGGCTATTGCCAACTCCACTGCGCATCACTTTGTTATTTCAGGGGGTCCAAATTCTATATATACGAATATAAAGTCAAAATTTTACGTGTATTTATAGTATAATTTTTCGATTGGACACCCTGGAGCCTATGTGGCTCTGCCCCTGGGTGTACGTGAACAAAGTCTCACATGAAAAGTTAAAAAAGAAGAAGCTACTTATAAGATGTATCTTTTTGAGAAAAAAAATAAAATCATTCGATTTTGACCTTAAGCGGATAATATAAATATCACACTCTGCTAAAAATATCTTTGATCCCAACACTTTATTGTTGGAGAAAAATGTTTGGTTTTTTATGGATCTACAATATAGATTGTTACAAAATTTGGTACTTTAGTTAAAGAATTGACAACAGATGTTGGCTGCTTTAAATAAATTCAGTTTACAAATTAAAGGTTGTGAATTTGACAGATCAATTAAGTTATGAACAATGGGAGTGTGTCTAATTCAATTAATTAATGTTGAATATTTGGTTGTAAATTTAACATCAAACTAAGGACTCAATAACACAAAATGTTGCTCAGTTTTTACAAAATCAATTTCACCACCTATTTTTATTCAATCAACTATTTTAACCTGCTAATAAAAAAGAGAACATAATTACTTTATAATAACAATAACAAATTGGAGTTTAAAAAGAATAATATGTATGCAAACCTTACCTAGAGAGTTGAGTCATACTTTATACAATTCAAATGAGTAAAGGATTATTATCCAAACAAACCTTTTATTCTATTATATATAAAATTTAAATTAGGAGTTCTTATATCCGCTTTAAATAAAGAAATATTTAATACTCAGACTCTAAATAACTTTAAAATCTTAAATATTAAAAAATAATTAAACATTAATTTTGTGCAACATAACGTTTACTTAGAAAAAGATAAATATTTTGTGTTGAGCTTCATTTTAAAAAAAAATAATAGAGTAGGCAACAAGAAAAACTTTTTTTAAAAATAATAGAGTAAGCAACAAGAAAAAACCAAATAAACACAAATTCTTCACTGTGTTATAACCCGCATGATTATCGGGTATTACCCATTTAAATTCGGGTCAAAAAGCCCTCTTTTACTAATTCTTAGGTTTTCCAGCTTCTTTTCCCTTTCTGCGTCTCTCACCTGGAGTCGGTCGGTCGGTGCCACTGCCTCTCCGTCAAGGTAAAAATCTCTTTCTTCGAACTCATCTTGGTGTTTATGTTAAACTTTGCTTACAGTATTCAGCTCTCAGATGCTTTGTTGAAAAAAAACGAATTTAATCGGTTAAGATCTGAAATTTTTTCACCTTTTTATGTTAGTTTCGCGATTTTTATCCTGTTTTAGAACCAGGTAGCTAAGCCTTGGTTAAAACCCGGTAACTATGATGAATTGATGCATGAGTATTTTGTATAGCTGACGCAAACTAATTTGGGATTGAGGTGTAGTTGATGGATTGATCAATTAAGGATTTCAGCTTTTGTTGTGGAAGTTGTCGGTTATTGCTAATTTTGGTTTGTATCTTTATTTATTGAAAAAATAATTGTGGGTCTGCTACCTTATTACCTCGCATCAATTTTGTTTTGCCTTTTTAATGATAGTTTCGTGATGTATAACCTGTTTTAGTCCCTGATAATGATGAATATTGGGGTAAGTTAAAAACCCGAGACAAATAAGTCTTAACTATGATGAAGTGATGCAGTGTATTTTGTATAGCTGCTCAACTAATTTGGGAATGAGGTGTAGTTGATAGATTGATCAATTAAAGATTTCAGCTTTTGTAGGTGGAAGTTGTGGTTTCTTGCTTATTTAGTTTTGTATTTTTTTATAATCATGGTGTCCGCTACCTTATTACCTCACATCACCTTTATTGACCTTTTTTATGTGAGTTTCACCAAGTATAGATGGTTTTAGACCTGGATAATGAAGAAAATTGTTGTCAGTTAAAATAGTTTTAACTCTATGGTGAAGTGGTAGCAGTGTTTTTGTATAGCGGACCCAACTAATTTAGGATTGAGGTGTAGTTGATTTATTGATCAATTAAGATCACAGCTTGGGTAGCAGAAGTTTTGCTTTCTTGCTTATTTGGGTTTGTATCTGTTTTTTTTTTTTTTTTATAACTGTGGCATCCGCTACCAGATAACTCTGTCTACCGAAGCGGAGAAATTGCCTAGTGTTTTTTGTTTGCGCTGGGATTTGAACCTGAGAACTCATAGGTCTGAACCCACTTTGTTGACTACCGGGATACACTCTTGGCGAGTATGTTTCCTTTTTTTTGTTGAGGAAGGAGGGAGGTGTTCTTATTGAAAAAAAAAGAAAAGGTTTTTGTTGTTGAGATGTACGGTCAAGGTTTTATCAAACAAATGGTATTTGTTTCAACTTTCAAGAATCCTATTTATTTATATCTAAGTTTATAGCTAGGGTTCTTTAGTTTACTGAAGTGTTTTTCTGTTGTAAATATTTCTGGTCTAAGAGTGATGTAGAAGTTTGTTAAGTTGTCTGGTCCAAGTATTATCTGTCATGTCGGTACATGTTTGCAGGGAACCTCTAGATATGCTTATGAAGAAATGGCAAGTTGATAAGTATCCGAGAAGAAGTTATTAACCTTCTTCCCTTGATTGAAAAAATAGTTATCAACCACTTTATATAAAGTGAGTTTACTTTGTTACTTGAGCCGAGTTCTGATTCAGAGAGCTATAGGAAAAGAATGTTATTGTTATTGAATGCAAAGTTTGTGTCCATGTTGGTGGTTCTTTTGTTTCCAGTCGTTATGATTTTCACTTTACGGCTCCTGGAAAAAAGGGTGTTGCTCAAATTGATGATGCAGTTTGATGATAATGTTTTGATGCAGGTCAATTTATCAAATCAAACCAATCACTTCCTTGGAAAGTAAAAGCAGGCCTGCTTTGTTGGTGTCATACCTTTAACCTTTTTCTTCCTAGTCAGTGCTTGTCCCCTGTAACAATGGGAACGCCAGAGACTTCTCGTGAACCTTGCCCTGACCGTATACTTGATGATGTTGGCGGTGCATTTGGTATGGGTGCTGTTGGAGGTTCAGCCTTCCACTTCTTAAAAGGTATATACAACTCACCAAAAGGTGAGCGCTTGATTGGTGGTACACAGGCAGTGCGCATGAATGCTCCTCGTATTGGTGGTAGTTTTGCTGTGTGGGGTGGGCTTTTCTCCTCATTTGATTGTACAATGGTTTATCTCCGGCAGAAAGAAGATCCTTGGAACTCTATTATTGCTGGTGCAGCAACTGGTGGCTTTCTACAGATGCGGCAGGGACTAGGTGCTGCTTCTAGATCAGCACTGTTTGGTGGAGTTTTACTTGCGTTGATAGAGGGAGCTGGAATTATGTTAAATAAAGTCATGAGTGCTCCCCAGAACTTCCCACCCATGGAGGAGCCACTACCAAATGTCCCTGGAGTGCCTGGATATCCACCTGGGCAGCTGCCTGGTCAACCAACGGGGCAGCTTCCTGGTCAAGCTCCAGTAAGTATTGATGGTATGATGGCAGAATCATCAGCACCGTCCTCTTCTTCCTGGTTTGGAGGACTTTTTGGTGGTGGAAAGAAGGAGGAGACAGCGACAGGTGGTGGTAGCAAGACACAGGTTTTAGAGAGCTTTGATGCTCCTATACCGCCTACCTTTGAGTTTAAATGAGTTCAAGAGATGATTTAATTTTCAGGTTAGTTAATGTTATTTTCTTTATTATTTGAATTTCTTATGTATTGTGAACAAGTATTAATTTCTAATCAGTGTGGCCAAGGTTTTGTTATGTTTCATGGTTATCTTTCTGGATAAATGTTTTCCTTCAAAAACACTATACTAACTGGGATCTACAAATTAGTTGAGTGGATTTTTATGGTTGATAATAGTTTTGTGGTGGTGGGCATCATATGAATAATATCGAACCCACTTTTAGTTTATTTTGTTTCTGGTGATGTAATCTTTTATCATATGTTTCTTGGTTTATCTGGAAGTTAATGCTACTGCGCTTATTCTGGGGTTGTTGTTATTATGGATATCATATATATTTTATGTTTTAATGTTACTTTCTTTTTTATGAAAAACATGGTCAACTTTCTGGGTAGGTAGCGATTATGAGAACTTCTATACTTAGACATAAGAAGAATATGAAGGATCCTTATGATTGGAATTTGCTGTTGATTTTGCTTGTGTACAATGGTTTCCTTTTGTGGGATTACACTGGATTTGTTGTAATTGCATGGTTTTTTTCTGCAGGATTACACTGGGTTTCTTGTTGTACAATTACTTTCTTCTACGTTTGGTGGGATCTTCTAGGTAGTTTAGTTAGCTGATGTGTTATTGTTGTTGTGAGAGAGCTTTAGGGTCCGTAATTTGAGTGTGTTTCTGGTTTTGTGCTAATATTAGGGTGTGGAAAAGTTTCATCTTTTGATGTTAATGGGATGATAGAGTGGGCATGAATAATATGGAATTGGTGCTTAGCTTCTTCTGATATTGTTATCTCTGTGTCTTGGTTATTTGGAAGCTACTGCTTATGTTTCAAGGGAGGGTTGTTGTTTTAGAATTAGTTTGTTTCATATCCCTTCTCAAAAAAAGAGAAAGCTTGTTTTCATATCTTTTATAATGTTCACTTGTATTTTAGTTTCTGATTCAAGTTGAACAAATTAAAAGAAAAAGAGAAGTTTCTTACAGAGGAGTTTTTGGAGAAGAGCTTAAGAAAGTTTTGATACTTGATGAAGGAATTAGAGATCTGGCTCTGTTATTTTTCACTTATGTGTGATGGTTTTTTAGACGGGATCTCACTGGTATCTTAATCTGCTCTGATGTATTCACATTGTTAGGAGAGAGCTGTGGCATATCATTATATCTAGTGATTTGTAGTGTAATTTGAGTTATTATCTGCCTGTGGGCTGATATTTTTGGGAGGGTAGAAGAGTTTGATGTATTGATTTTGATAGTAAGGGAAAAAGGTGTCTGCCCGAATTTTTAACTACAGGCTGGTAGTGAATGTTGTTGATGCCACCTTTGCTTTTGTGTTTGCTTTCTTACTTGGATATGTATGGGTACAAATCTTAAGGTGCTTAGGCATAGTTGAAGAGAAACGGAAAAAAGGACCATGGCAATAGAGAGGAAGTTGTTAAAGAAACTCATATTAAGATTACATGCTTAAGAGCTTTTTGTTGACTGCTAGAATTATTATTGCTTTGAAGTTTTTTTTCCATCTTTTGTCATCAATTTGCCCACATTTTACACCATTAACTCATAATACATTCAAAATAGTTTTGGTGACTGTCACTAAGCGTTGAGGAGTTTGTTGGATTTGCTTGCCTAGTAAATTCTGGTGTGTTTTTGCTTGGATGAAGTTAGGGGATTGTATTGATCTGCCAGTACATTAACTCTACATATTGTCTTTACATTATCAAATATCAACAGCTGCCTCATGGGTGTACTTAAAGTTTACGGAAATGTATGAAGTCATTCTCTTAGCCCCTCTAAAGCTCTCCAATCTCTCTCCTTCCAATGTAAACCCATATGAGATATGGAGGGGAACTGGGGAAGCACTCCTATGCCCTTAGTTCCTCCCCCACCCCCTTTTTATTTTTAAGGCTCAACTGTGTAGCACATCTGTCATTGGAATCACACTTTGTACTGCAGCATAGTTTAGTACCGCCTCCATATTCGGGTTGCAACATGACTTATGCAACAAGAAAAAATGTGTTCTGAGCATTTGCACATGAAGCATGAGCTAACATATGTTGGCCTCTTGTTTAACAAGTTTTCAGCTAGGAGATGATTGGTTCTTGTATCGCCCGTCCTCAAGGGAGCCCTTGTTGTCATTTTTTTTTCAAGAGTAGACTTGGAAATGGAAAGGAGTGAACTCCTTAATATTGCTTAGATGTACACCCAAAAAAATCTCAATATCAAGCCTGGGCGCAGCTGCTAACTTTCTAATGCCCTCCACCCACACCCTCTTACTTCCCCACTGGTCACTGCATTCTTCCCTTCCTGTCTGGTTGTGTGAGCTTTGGTGGTGTTCTCTGGATTGAGATTTTCCCTGTCCGTTTCCAAAGTTATAAAAAAAAATAAAAATGCAACTTACGAAACTATTGTCCCTGAGCAACTTAACTTAGGCAAAAGTGCTAGGTGGTTTCTTTCCATTTGTCCATGCTAGGTGCCTGGACACCACGGTTATTTTAAAAAATGTATTAAGTTCTTAATTGTTTTGAAATTACTAAAATTCACAGGTGAATATGGGACAACCTGATAGATCCTGGAGGTGGTTCAACCTTTGGTCTTCTTTGATGCTTTGACATATATTCTCGTTTCTTATTTCTTCTCATCCTAGATTTTACTGATATGAGCCAAACATTTGCTTGAATCTGTTTTGCAGGGGGAGAGTGTTGGTGGTCAGGACACTTGTCTCAGCTGTTGATCCAATGCCAATTTTGGTGCTAGTAAATGGCTTGTTATGGATCTTATAATAACAAAGTGCGTTTATTGTTAAATCTACAGAGCATTCGACTTAAAAGTAATATTGCATCATAGGTTGGTTTTAGTGGTATTTACTTTTTGATTATTGTATGAGTTTGACTAGTTATTGTTCAAACAAATGGAAAAATAATATGGAACATTTGTGGTTGTATATGTTAACACCTGCTTAGGCAGCATCTTTTTGCATTTTTTGGACTACATGTTATTATGCTTCCTTGATATTCATGAATTACTCTTGTATCTGGTGGTACTTTTTGTAGTGAATGTGCTTCTTAGGAAAAAGTAAAGAGATAAAAGTGTTAAAACCGCACCTAAATTATTACTTTTTTTTTTAGTTTCATACCTAAATTATTGAGAGCGTGAGTTTCATACCTAAACTATCACTTTTTAATTTGAGAAATACACAATCAATGGTGTGTAGAAATGTTACGAAATAGTTGAGAAGTGGCCAGTAAGTGTGCTTTTCGACCCCTGAAGCCCTATTGAGTTGAGCTCTAAGCCCATATAAGAAAGGAAGAAACCTTCCACATCAGGACTGTATGTTGCATGGTGAAGTTACATATTTGGCCACTTGCCCAAGAATATTTATAATTGCTAGACAACACATTATATTACTAGTTCTTGAACACATGCAACACACATGTATTTCACGCATAGTAGTATACATATTTAAAATTTAAAGTATTTGATTAAATTTTTTGGATGTCATAAAACATGTGAAGAAAAAAACTACATTTTATTTTTTAGAACTATTTTTCTGTACGTTAATTTTTATTTTATAAGGTAATTATAGATGATATTCTTATTGTTAGTTCTCATATTTGCCTTCTTGATTGAATGTGTACATAAATCAAAGATAATTATTTGACTTTTCATATTTTTTCATTAATAAACTCAAAATTAAACATAAAAATATATATTTAATTTGTGAAATTATATATATATATATATATATATATATATTCACATGTTTACCTTACACCCAACAAAGATATCTTCTATATTCTTGTAAATAATTTTTAATTTATTTAACCAGACATGATTCGTTCAAGAGTCAATAACAACATTGTGTTATCGGGTAATATAGGGATGGTATAAGAATGTGAAAAGTTATAGGGCAAAAACTTAATATAAAGAAAAATGAAAGATATAAATAATTAATCTGATAACTAATGAAATTCATAATGTTATAACTAAAGAATGTAAAAGGATGTGAATAATATTTGCAATAATTAGTAATAACTGCCATAACTGAAGAATTAAAGTGTAATAGTTGAATTTCTTATTAATTCTTCATTTACTTAAATAAATAGGACTTCTAATTAATTTTATTGTTATTTAGATAGTTAATTAGATTTTAAATTAGTTTAAGGGCAATATGGTAATCTAATTTCACACTTTAAAACTTCCCGTGTGTTGAATTTTTATTCCATATTACTTAATATAAATTTACTTTTGCAAATGATAAATTTTAAATGATTCACATATTTTTCTATTTGCTATTAGATTTTTTAAAAATAAAAATAAAAAAGAAGAGAAGAAATCAAAACATTTACAAATAGTTTATTTTGAAGATAGAAGATCTTGTTAACATGATGATACTTTCATGACATATATAATACTTTAATTTAAACAAATATCTATCCAAATATATATCTATATATAAAGATTTGCATATAATAAAAATATTTATATAAAATTTTTTTAGCAATTAAATAAAATTAAACTAATACACCCTTCAACTTGGTGTCATCGTAAATCATATGAATTTTTCTTCAATTAGAATACATAATTTTTTTTTGAAAAGTAAATAAGTAAAATTAAAGGAAAATGTTTATACAGTAATAACTATTTTGAAACAAATTTCATGACAATCTCAATCACATAAATAACATTGTAAATAAAGTCATTCTTATGTCTTGAGCATCAATAAAACAACTCATGATAATTCTCTAACTCATGAGAAGTTCAATAAAAAAATTTATAAGCATATAAATGCATCACATGAAAAATTGTTAACAAAAATAAATGAATTTAGACTACTTCACGTTATCTTCATAATTGAAACATTACGCACCACTGTATATATTAAGAAAAACAAGAAAAACGATTATTATACCAATAAAAGTTATTTCCCTCAAGTACTCGAGGTTCTTGAATATATTCTCTTAGGATAGAATAATTTACTTCATCAGAATAGTTGTACCTCAAATTCCACTGACCTTCAAACTCACTCAACGACAATAAATTACACGAATTTTTTTAAAGTGTTAGAAAAAGAAGACAAAATATTAGAAAATTTTTGTGGTTGAAAAATGAGAGGAAATCTCTCTATCTATAGCCAACAAATGATAGTATGAACATGTGTTTATCGTGCCTTGACTGAAAAGTCACGACTCTTCGAAATAGTGACAATCCTTTGAAAAATTCATAACTCTTTTGGAAAAGTCACAATCCTTTGTAAAATTCACAATTTATCCGGAAAATCACAATCTTTTGAAAAAGTTACAACACATTAGAAATGAGATGATTGCAAACACGATATGCTGGGATGGGCATAGAAACTTCATATTAAAAAAAAATCTACTCAATTTCTCCAATTTTCACAGGTAAGTTCATAGATTTCTGGTCTACGATCTAAATAATGATACTCCTTAACTATGCTTCATCTTCTCTAATTTGATTGTGACAGTTTGTTTCATTTTTTTCTTGGCATAGTATTATACTTGCTCATATTCAACTCTGTCCGTGATCAAATTATGTATGTTGTCGATATTTTTATTTCAGAGCATTTGCTATAATTTTTGAATGTAGAATCTTATGTGAGATAATCCCTTTTGTGGGACTGACCTTCAGGAGTTACATTCTGCTACCAGTATATATAATTGTTCTTCATTTTTCTTTTTCTCGATCATTAGTGCTCTATTAAGCCTTCAAGGTGTTTTAAAGCTTCTTTGTTCACTTATATTTTCCATTTCATGTTGGCTAAATTGAATGAACTGAAAATCCAACCATCTTGGAACTTAACAAAAATAAAACAAACAAGAAGCTAGCGAAAGCTGGATTACCTTTAAATGTACATATCTCTTTTTCAGAAATTGGCACTGACTAAATGAATAATGGATACGTTGATAAATATTTTTGGTCATTGGTGTCCTCCTAAAGAAATTAGGATCTTCATGTGCTTTTATTCAACGTGTTTCTCATTAGTTTCACCTTTATATTTCAGTACGGTTAGAATAAATTGTCATCTTTGTTTATCGATCATTAAATGTAAAAGTTGTGTATGGACTATAATGCCTTATACTTGAAGATAAAACGATTCTGCTAAATTTGGAGGTGTATGTAAATCTTTCTGATTGAGGCAAATCACTTCTATTTATGGCTGGCAACGGAATTGGGAGGTGTCGGTTCTGGTACCGTTCCATCTTGTATCGGTTAGGGCCTGTGTCTAGGGGGTCCGGGAGGGGTAACGGGACGAAAATTGGGATTTACCAGTTAGTCCCGGTCCGATAAATATCAGTTTCGGTCCCGATTTGTCCTGATCCGGTTCAGTTCATTTTTTTTAAAATTGCAAAAAATTAGCCGTTGGAAGGTTGTTGGGGAACGGGTTTTGGGCCCCACCAACGGTTCTTTCACCCCCTACCCCCTCACCCCCAAACTTTTTTTAATACCCCAACATTCTAAAAACTACATTTTCATCCCTTTTTTTTTACCTATAAATACTCCAAATCGTTCATTCTTTTCACTCACAAAAATATTATCTTCTACTCTCTCAACAACTCTCAAAAGTCTCACTCAAGTCTCTACTCACTAATCTCTTATTATCGTTAAAATTACGAATTTGATCTTTGAAAATTGAATTTGGAGCTTCAAAATTCAACTTTCAATTTTCGGCTTTCAGTCATAAACGTCTACTTTTTTAAGTAGACGTTTGGTACATTCGTTCCAACTCACTTTTCATTTAGTTATTTATTTGTTTGCATTTAATTATTTATTTTGTGAGTAATTAGTCTCTAGTCTCTACTTATTTAGTTAATTATTTGTTTACAACTTTGCATTACATTTTCATATTATATATAATTTACTCACTTTTTATATTTGAATATGGATTTCGGTAAAAATAATGTTGACAAGGGTAAAAAAACCCACAGTTGATTCAATCACTAATTCATGGAACTCAAGATTCAAGAAAAATAAAAAACCCGGTAGTACTTCTAAATCTAAAAGTAGAAAATCTTCTCAATTAATAATAAATACGGAAGATTATACGCATGTTAATGAAACTATTTTTAATATTGATAGTAATAGTGGATTAGATCCTTATCATGAACATTTACAAAGAAGGTTTGGTAATTTTGATGAGGAATTACCTGAAGATGATGAACATGATAATGTTAATGATTATATTGATAATGTTGATAATGATGATGATGAATATGATGATGATGATGAAACTGAGCCAGTTACGACTACTACTCTCACTCCTAGTCCCTCTTCCCCTCCTGCTCCTAGTCTCACTCCCTTTCGTTGTCCTGCTCCCGTTCCCCCCGTACATCCTAGGTCTAAGGTAGAACGTGCTAAAAAATCAGTTGTGTGGCAATTTATGACTCAGAATGAAGATAAAACACAAGCTATTTGTAATATATGTAAACATATAATGAATCATAAAACTGTAGGAAAACAGGGTGGACGGGACATTTGAGTAATCGTTTAATGTCATATTGTAAAAATGGATTTTTACATGCTAAAGTTGTAGCTGAAGCTAAAAAGAATGGTACCACCTTTCATGAAACTGTAGGAGTAGGGGGCTCTAATATGGTCCAAACACAATTAAATCATTCTAATGTTTCTAGCTCTAGTATACAACGGTCATATAGTAGAGAAAAAGATCTTGAAGAATTAGCTAAACTGATTATTGTTATGGGTTTGCCATTTAGTTTTGCTGAAAATCCCGGTTTTATTCATTATATTTAAATTGTGTATAATCCACATTTTAAAGGTTTTACTAGAAATACAATTAAAAAGGCTATCTTTGATTATCAAGCTCAACATTTTCAATATCTTCGTTGTTTATTTTATTATAATAATTGTAAAATAGCTATTACTTTTGATATGGGCCGTAGTGTAAATGGTAATGATTATTTCACTATTACTGCACATTGGATAGATGAAAATTGAATTATGCAAAAAAGAAT